ATCACAGACGCATAGAAATCTCACTGTCCCTTCATCGCAAACTTATTTGAGTGCCTCTGCGTCCCACAATAAACGCAAAAGGATCTCTAAACGCCTCGTTACAAACTCAAATGAATATCCACTCTTCCAGACACAAGAGCGCGTTAGATAATTCGCGCCGAACCTAGCGCTCGCGTGTAACCTCGTTGCGCACACAAGCGTGTGCGTGAATTTTCCACGCGTCCAGACACGGTACCATGACCGTGTACACGTGGAAGGGAACACGAGGCTGCGCTTATGCGACAGGGAGATTTGTGTTTGGTCAGGCTAGAGAGGGAGCTCTAACGGAGTTTTGTGTTTAGGTTCAGGGATTAGTAATTTGGGGGGGCGAAGATGGATGAGATACGTGTAAGTGGATATTGGTTCGGTTGTTCGGTAATAATATTCCGTTGATCGCCAAGGGGAAATTAAAATTGTATTTAGTACCGGTGGAAGTTAGGGTGGCCTCGCTACATTATAATGCTGTTTTAATAGTGGGATTTCGCTTCGTTGCTCGGAATAATATTACAGTTACCCGAAAGTAGGGAAATTTCGTGACGAATGTTGTTTTATTCAGGGTGTATAATAAGACTGATGTTCGGTTCTGTTGTTCCTGATAATATTTTCATTGAAAACGAGAGGATTCGACGTGTGTACACGATACTTCAACCGAATAAAAACCGCGAATATCAACATGGAGTTTAATTTACCTTCCTTAAAAAGAATATCGTACGTAACGAAAAAGAAAAACGGACCTTGAAACACCTCGATTTTTCTATAACAACAGTATTCCGTTGACAGTGGTGCAAGATTAAAAACAAGCTCCATTGAACAGCTGCTTTTTTCAAGTCGTTCCTCGGCAAATTTTTCAGCTCGTTATTAAAAGAAAAAGTGAAACACAGTAAGTCGTTCAACAAAGATCCTTTCTCAGCTCAATCATATTTCCTATTCCTTCGGGTCGACAAACTTCCCAACGGTGCAATTAAAACAAAATGAAACACCGTCGAAAAGAAAAAGTTCCCCAAAATAGAAACGAACAGAAAAGAAAGAACCGAGAATACAGAGCAATTGAATTTCACACACGAAATCACGCCGATTTCCACTCGATACCCGGACAGCCGTTGGCCACGCGTTAACTCACAGATGACACGCGCTCCCACAGCAAGTCTGACCCAAACCCGGTACATTCTACTTATCCATCGCAGCCCCGGTGATGTAACTCCCCTTACACCCGAAGACAGAGCGAGCGAGGCAGGAGCCAAGCAAAACCGTAGGTGGACTCCTCTACCTGTCACCCTCCTAGCACGCTTCCCTCACGAGAAGACGTCACCGCGTATCATCAACAACACACACGCACACATGCACGCGATGAAAACCTACACACCAACGCAGGACCTATATATTCCACATGAAGATACGAGCTAATGTCCCTCCAGCTCGGTACACGAGATTACACTTGGAAACCAGTGAAAAGACCATCACCAACACACACACAAACACACACACACCGCGAGAGAGAGAGAGGAGAGAGAGAAGGAGAGAGATAGAAAGAGAAGGAGAGATAGAGAAAGAAAGAGAGTGTGTTGGTGAGGCACACAAAGAAAGAAGGAAACGTGGCTCGCGCACCAGTTCCGCGTTCCAGCTCGCTCGCGCGCGAGGTACACACGCGCGCGCACACACGAGACACAGACACAAACGAAGCTTGCGCCTAGCTCCGTGTTTCGCCTGGCCTGGCTTCAGTAAGCTCTGAGCTTTCGACTGGTTCGGTCGTCTTTCTCGTGGATAACCGCATCGTTACACACAAGCGTCGACCCGGTCGATCGTAACCCACGGCATGTGCTCCTCCGCGAACAAATGATCCCGAATTTTTGAGAACAACGCTGCTAAAGAAACATCGTCCAATTCTCTCTCTCTCTCTCTCTCTTTCTCTGTGTTTACGTTCGATTCTGAAGGTTCGAGTAAGAAGCTGTGTGCACCGAGTACTGTGCTCGAAGAGAGTTTTGACACGAACTAAGGGAGGAGAGAGGCGGCTAGCCTAACAGATACTGGCGGAGATAAAAGTTGGAGGAGCAATCTCGACGGAACGTTGCCTGTTCGATGAGATAAAGAGGTGATTCCGATGTAGAGGGATAGATGGTTTCTCTGCTCGAGTATTTTCGGTGAACAGAAAGGGTTCGTCGAGGAGTCGTGAATTGTTGACGATTGTGTCTCGGTGACTGAATGGCTGATGTTGAGAAGAATCTCCAGGGTTCGAAGTGATGTCCTCTCCTTTTGTCAGAGAGAACGATGTTGCAATGACTGATAGTGAGGTTTAATTGAGAAGACTCGTGGCAGTTTGGAAGATTCGTTTCTCATTTTCGCTTGGTGGAACGTTCACTGTTTTGATAATATGACAGAACGTGGGAGAACTGAGAGAAAGATTCGAAAAATTCTATGGATCTTTGCTGAGATACACTCGGAAGTATTGTGAAATTAGAAGGGAAAACGGTGCAAAAATTGTAGAGACTCTTAGTGAATAGCAGTCGATCGTTGATAATCAATTGGAAAATGAACCTTGACTTGGAAACCATATAACACCGCAGGAAACCCAATTTTCTTTCACCAAGAAGTACTCGATAAACCCGCTATCTCGAGTACTAAAAACAAACTAAAAATTCACACTTGGAGTGGAAATTTCTCCAAACCTGAGATAACTTAAAAACCATGTAACACCTGGGGAAACTTAAAAAATACTCAATAAATCCAGCATCCAAAAATGATATTAGACCAGAAGTACCTTTTTTCCAAACCAAAGATAAGTTAAAAATAACACCTCGAAGATCCTAATTTTATTTGAGCGAAAAACCGCTGAAAGTCGCGAAGTAAAGAACGAAGGAAAAAATATCGTCGAAAAATCGAAGGTCCGAGTGGAAATTTCTACCTGGCGCGATCGAAGAACAATTAATTTAATCGGAAGTTTATCACGCCCCGGTGTTAACGTGTTAAGGAGACGCGAAGTATCGACCATATCGGGACAGTTGATGGTTCAGGGTTGAGGGTTTTAGCGGAGGATCGTCTGACGCAGTGGACAGATATAAAATCGAGGCTGGTGACACTGTTCCGGGTGCACCGGCGGCGGGATCATGAGGAGCAGGACGAGCAGCGTGCACGGTGCACCGAGGACCGCCTCGAGATCGATTCGAAGACCGTGGAATCAGCTTGATTACTATAACGGAAGGCGGCTAGCGACGAGGAAACTCACAGTGAGACCTGTTCAAGCCTGACTTCCGATTCGATTTATCTTTCACTTGAAAATATTTTAATGATAATCGAGACCCCCGTGAGAATCTGATCGATGCTGGACGAAGTTACCAAAGCTGAGAATTTTTTGGGATGAAGAAGATGAAAATGGTACTTTGTCGCGAATAAGTGAACTTTTTCCAATAGAAAATGTTTCGACGATAATTGGACCTTCCATGAGAATATGATCGATGTTGGTTCAAGGTTTGAGATACAGTTACGAAATTGAGAATGTTTTTGAAGATGAAAATGGTACTTTGTTGGGAATGAGTGAATTTTTCAAGTGAAACTTTTTATCTTCCACTTGAAAATGTTTCGATAATAATTCGATCAATGTTGGACGAAGTTACGAAACAGAGAATTTTCTGAGATGAAGAAGATGGAAATGGTACTTAGTTGTGGACAAGCGAACTTTTTCCACTTGGAAATGTTTCAACGATAATCGAGCTTCCGACGAGAATCTGATCAATGTTGGACGAAGGTTCGAGGTGCAGTTACGAAATTGAAAAAGAAGACAGAAATGGTACTTTGTTGTGAATAAGTGAATTTTTCCAGTGAAGCCTTTTTATCTTCCACTTGAAAATATTTCAACGATAATCGAGCCTTCGATGTTGGACGAAGGTTTGAAATGCGGTTACGAAACAGAGAATTTTCTGAAATTACGAAGATGAAAATGGTACTTTGTTGCAAATAAACGAACTTTCCAAGTGAAGCCTTTTACCTTCCGCTGCAAAATGTTTTAACGGTAATCGAGCTTTCGACGAAAATCAGATCAATGTTGGACGAAGGTTTGAGGTGCAGTTACGAAACAAAATTTTCTCAGATAAAGAAGATGGAAATGGTACTTTGTTGTGAATAAGTGAACTTTTCGACGGAGCTTTGGTGCTTTGAATATTCAACAGACAGGAAAAACAGTGGAAAGAAGACTGAGAAGAATAAGGGACTCGTTCGTATTAATTTGAAAAATGGTACTTTTCCAAGCTTCGATTACTTCAATATTCCTAAGAAATTCGTCGCAAAATTAACAAAACCAAAAAATTCTATCTAAATTCTATCTAAAGAATAAGAATGACTAAAATTCTTATCGAAGACTGTCCAAACACGAAACAAAAAATGGCACTTTTTACAGAAGCTTCAAACCTTTCGATAAAAAGGAATGAAATTCCAAGTCAGAATTACCGAGTGTCTGACTAAAAATGACATTTTCTACTGAATCTGTACAAGCTTGAACGCGGTGAATATTCGAAAGAAACGCGACGAAAAAGAGAAGAGAGAGAGAGAGAGAGAAAAAAGAAAAAAAGAAGTGGACTTTGGGGAAGATCGCTGCACAACGATTCTTCTTCGCGAAGTTATTATTAAGGATCGCGGACAGACACAGCTGGCTGCACAAACGATTAACTCTCGGCCGAGTGCAGATCCAGGGATGCAGCAAAAACGGCGTTGCACACTTAAAGGACGCCGCTGAAGAGGACGAACTGTCAAAGAGGCGTCAGCGTCGCCTCGTTGATCTCTTCTCTACGGTGTAATAATACCGATAAACTGGACGAAGAACGAACGCGGGAAAGATCGACTATAATCCCACTTCCATTTAAGATCTCCGCAACGTGAAACACCTTTCTCGAAGCGATCGAAATCGGGACTGTCGAAGGACGCGATTGTGCTTTAAATAATCATTCTTTGAGTGTCTTTTTTTTTTTTTTTAACAAAGTTTCTCTGAAAGAGGGATGCAAGAGTTTGCGAAGAAAATTGTTGATTCGATTAAAGGTAAGTTTCGAACAGGCGTAAAATTGTGAAAAATTCAAATTAAATACTTAAGAGACACGTTAACGTGATGAATTTTCCTCAAATAATCGTACATCAGGCGCTTATTTACTAAAAAAAAAGTCTCTTTAAAAGAGAATGCAAAAATTCACGAAGAAAGTTATTGATTTAATTCGAAGTAAATTTGGAATAGGCGAGAAAATTTTGAAATTTGAAAAATTTAAAGAGATAATTAAAAGACACGTTAGCGTGACAATTTTTCCTCAAATAATCATACATCAAGCGTTTTTTCTAAAAGAAAAAAAAGAAAGTCTCTTGGCGAAGAAAATGATCGATTTCACGCGAGGTAAGTTTCGAATAGGTGTGAAAATCAGTTGGAACAAGAGAAGATCGAAAAAATTAGGGAAACGCGGCTCTTGCAGCGTTATTTTCACGGTTGATCAGGGAACACTAATTGGAAAAGGTAGCGGACAAAAGTAGACGTCGATTTAACGGATGGACGGGTTGTTCCGCGCTGCAAGCGGTTATTTTCGGCTGGTGAAAAGCCGGGGACGACGAACGGGGACGTTGAATATCAAATCGCGCAATTTCATAATTCAGTGATTAGACGTGGATTTCCCGTGGGAGTCGTTCTCGTCGATCCCACAGTGGAGGCAAAGGGGGGACAGGAAGTTACACAAGACGCGTTCACGATGAAAGATTCGACGAGCTCCTGTTTTGGAATAATCTCGTGCCGAAAGAAAGTGAGAAAGATCGTCGGAAAATTAACCCTCTGCACTTTCATTTTTTATTCGTATCGAAGTTGAGAAACTTTGGTTTGCGAAAGTTACGCTCTGATTTCAATGTTGTTCAACTTTTGTTTGAAAGTTTTACTGAAATTTTACGCGGACACTCTGTATATGAATAATTGTGCGATGGATTTGTAAAAATATTGTCAAATTATATTTTTGACTTTTATAGGAAGCTTGTATTGTTCGAAAAAATAGTCGAATAATTACAAAATAATTACATGGAATTGTAATATTGGGGGAAAATGGGTCGATAAAGTTACGAGAAGAAGAACTGTTAAGATATATCCACTTTTTATTTCTAAATCTACTAATAGCGTTATAAAAATTGTTAGATAATTACGATGAGAAGAATGGTAAAAATATGTCCCTTGAATGACACTGTAACTTTTTTACTTTGGAAAAAATGTATAAAAAATTTGTCCAAAAAATTATAGACAAGAGAAAAATAATTGACAGAAACTATTTCATTAAAATAATACTTCTCAAATTATTATTTTCTAAATATTTATATTATCAAAAAAACGATAAGAAAATGTTACGGTAAAAATTTCTTAATTTGCACCGCAAATTCTTCCTTCTAAATACAATTTGTGAGAGAAAAAAAATGACAGACAATTAACAGAGAGATCGAGGCTCTCCCTGAAAAATGACACGAAGTGCAAAGGGTTAATCGCAAAACTGGCTGCAAATGTTCTCCTCTCTCTCTCTCTCCCTGGCTCGTTTCTATTCTATAAATTTGCCAAGTTTCCGTGAATGTGGAACGTCGGGCAAAGTGTAACGGGGAATTCTGTTATCAGACTGAAGACAGTCCATGAAACGAACCGGCCGTTTCAGCTGTGCGGCCTGGAGAGCCCGTAAAGTTTAACAAAGCGCGGGGGCTACAATGTGAAGTGTCCTCTCACCTCGTTCTCCCGAGCAGCCCTCAGCGTGTAAAAGCCCAGGCGACGCAGCCCAGCTACCATCGCGCTCAATGGTAATTAATTCAGACGTAAGATGATATGGAGTCTGAAGACGAAGTGGACGAAGAGCTGCCGGAGGCGAAACATACAGAGGTACGATAATCCCTCTAGAAAAAAAAAAGCGAAAAGAAACGAGAATGAACGAAAACGGACGAAAGTGAAAAATCTGGAGAAAATTTGCGAGAAAGTTAACCCTTTGATACGTGGACAAAAATTTTCGGAAATTTATCTCTAATATCCTTTGAATTTCGATGTTTCAAATATTAACCCTTTCGTTGCTAAAGGTGACTATAGTCGTTGAACGTTGAACGCTCTGATTACAGTCACTCAGTGTTGAATGCTTGCTGGATACTAACGGTGACTATAGTCTCCCAATGATGAACACTTGCTATATTCTACCGGTGACTATAGTCACCCAACGTTGAACGCTCGCTGTATACTAACGGTAATTATAATCACCCAATGATAAACGCTTGCTATAATCACCCAACGTTGAACGCTTGCTATATCTTACCGGTGGCTATAGTCACCCAGCGTTGAACACTCTGACTACAATCACCCAACGTTGAACGCTTGCTATATCTTACCCGTGACTATAGGCACCCAACTTTGAACACTCTAACTATAATCACCCAACGTTGAACGCTTGCTATATCCTACCGACGACTATAGTCACCCAGCGTTGAACACTCTGACTACAGTCACCCAACGTTAAACGCTTGCTATATCTTACCCGTGACTATAGTCACCCAGCGTTGAACACTCTGACTGTAGTCACCCAACGTTGAACACTTGCTATATCCTACCGATGACTAAAGGCACCCAACTTTGAACACTGACTACAGTCACCCAACGTTGAACGCTTGCTATATCTTACCCGTGACTATAGTCGCCCAGCGTTGAACACTCTGACTATAATCACCCAACGTTGAACACTTGCTATATCCTACCGATGACTAAAGGCACCCAACTTTGAACACTCTAACTATAGTCACCCAACGTTGAACGCTTACTGTACACTAACGCTGGCTATAGTCTGCCTTCGTCGAACACTCGCTATATCCTATCGGTGACTATAGTCATCCATAAAAATTTAGAGCACAGCATAGCTTGATATACAATTGTATCTCCAGGGTAACCGATTTATGTGCTTTCATGGAATTCTCTCGTTCTATTGCCTTAAGAACTATGAAAATAGCCAAAAAAAAAATAATGTTACGCTCCTTCGCTAAAGTGTACGCTCGTGTCTCTCCCCCAAACAACTCTGCTGTAGCGAAAGGATTACAGAAAGAATCTCTACCATTGAAACGCATAATTTCTAACGGTGTGTTCCATTCATTTTCTACGTACGAGTGAATACCAGTGTTCAAAGGGTTAAACGGTTGAGTCTCTTCAATTTCGAACACTTAATTTTTCAAGAAAATTCAATATAAATCATGGAAAAATATATCTGTGAGAGAGTATCGCATATTTGGAATTGGAAGAAAAATTGAGATAATGAAAATGGTACAGGTGAGCCAGAATGATAACATAGAGGTGTTCAAGACGATGAAAATTTCCACGAAACCGATGTCCTCGAAGGCATCTGAGCAAAGCGAGTCCCCTGAAGAAACGGTGACCGTTATACCGTGCAAGTATCCTGGTAAAACGAAGACGCAGGAAGAATCAAAATTACCTTTAAGTAGCAGTATCAAGACTGACATAAAGGACAGTGAAATCGTGAGGATCTGTAGAAGTAAGAGGATCACTTGTCAAGACACGATACACGAATACGACGAGGACGATGGACTTACTATGGAGAAAGTTGGAAGGTGAGAGAAATTTTATTCTTACTTTTGTTCTAATTAACATTCTGCGAATAAATTAAACAGCTAAATTTCGTTCGTTAGAACGACTGGATTAAATTTCGACATATGAATTTTTCGTAATCTGTAGTTTTCAATTTTTAATATTCTCAGAATGGAAAATATAAAAAATTGTTCAAAAATTTTCAAAAAAAAGTTAGCAATTTTATGAATTTTATTGAAAATTCTTTATTACTCTGATCTATCAATTTCGACTATGAGACGAAGGAAATTTTTGTTACCCCTTAGGTGCCTAAATGAGGCAATTAGGTACCTAACTTTTTAACCTGTAGATAAAAATTCTAAGTGACTGAACTCGGTGAAATTCTTCTTTTCTTGAGATACTGACCCCCAAATGAAAATTAGAAGAATTACAAAAACAAGAAAAAAGTTGCATAGGTTTCAAAGGGTCAATCCCAGCAAGATTAATTCCAAATTAATATAAGATTCACGGTAGATTCAATATTGATTTAAATATGGCAAGTGGTCTGGAAGTTTTCGCCACTGTAAATCGATTCGAACGGAAATGTTGTCGGAAAAAGGTACCTCGAGGCGCATCCAGAAGCGGCGGAGGCCTGGCTCCGTGAAAACGCGAGCCTGGAGTTACGTCAACGACTTCAAGGTGTGGCTCTGCCGCAACCCAACTCGCCGACGAGGAGCATACACCAGGAAGAGAACCTTCTGAGCCGGAGCAAACGGAACAGCGTCACTTCTGATCTGTTCCAGAGCTGGCTGGCCTCTAGCTCGCCGGCAAAACGCAGCAGAAGTCCCAGCAGGTGAGTTAACGTCGACGTTTCATCGTGAAAATTCCAATTTTTCAAGATCAACGTGTTCAACTGATATTAGAAAACGTGAATTTTGTGAGAATTTTAGTTTTGCCTTGAATGAAAATTTATCATACATTTTTGACAAACGTTAGAGGTAACGAATAGAAAAAGTGTAATTTATTTTATTTACTCAATGAAGTCGAAAATGAAGAATTGTCAAGCACAAATAAGAACATGTTTCAACTTTTCTTATGCGAGGAGAAATTATTTAATCCTGAATTACGTGGAATTCTAGCGCATAAAGTCGCTGAAAAAATCATAAAGCAAAGATTTAATCCTTGGAGGATTACGTACCGTGTTCAAATACTGATTAATTATACAACGTATAACCAGGTCAATACTTCAATTCTCTTAAACTAAATCACGTCGAAATTATATTTTCCTCAAATGTACACTCCCTTTCGTAACTACTTATTAACACCCATTAAATTACACTTCTTCACCGAAGTTAGTATCACAAATCAATAAAAACACAACAGACTGAATAATCTTTCTCGTTTTGGATCTTAATAATTTTTTAATCACTGCTTAAGTTTGCTTCACAATCGGTAAAAATATTCCAGAATGAATTATTCTTTTTTGGACCTTAATCATTTTTTACCAGCAATTTAGCTTTTCTTCATAATCAGTAAAAATATTCCAGGCTAAAGTCATTTCTTTCTGTAGTCCTAATAATTTTTTAATAACTATTCAAGTTTGCTTCACAATCGGTAAAAATATTCCAGAATGAATTATTCTTTTTTGGACCTTAATCATTTTTTACCAGCAATTTAGCTTTTCTTCATAATCAGTAAAAATATTCCAGGCTAAAGTCATTTCTTTCTGAAGTCCTAATAATTTTTTAATAACTATTCAAGTTTGCTTCACAATCGGTAAAAATATTCCAGAATGAATTATTCTTTTTTGGACCTTAATCATTTTTTACCAACAATTTAGCTTTTCTTCATAATCAGTAAAAATATTCCAGGCTAAAGTCATTTCTTTCTGAAGTCCTAATAATTTTTTAATAACTATTCAAGTTTGCTTCACAATCGGTAAAAATATTCCACAATGAATTATTCTTTTTTGGACCTTAATCATTTTTTACCAGCAATTTAGCTTTTCTTCATAATCAGTAAAAATATTCCAGGCTAAAGTCATTTCTTTCTGTAGTCCTAATAATTTTTTAATAACTATTCAAGTTTGCTTCACAATCGGTAAAAATATTCCAGAATGAATTATTCTTTTTTGGACTTTAATAATTTTTTAACGACAATTCAGGCTTTCTTCACACTCAACAAGTATCCTAATACTCACAAACGACACTATACACACACGAATTAACAGTGAATTATTTCTCCTCCACAAAAATCCATCCACAAACCTCCCGATAGCATTCATAATCCGTTCCAAACTAACACACGAGGTCGCCGCCCTTAAAGGCTTAAGCAACGAACTACTAGAAAATTCATTCCACTCGAAGAATGATCCTTCACACTGAATTCAGGACGTATTCATCTCTGGTGGGTCGAAGAGAAGAGCTCAACAGGTTGGACGAAAGCGACCTGTTCATGGAGCTGATCAGAGACGTGGCGAATGAGCTGGATATCAACGTTCTCTGTCACAAGATCCTCGTGAACGTTGGCCTCCTCACACATGCAGATCGCGGAAGCCTTTTCCTAGCCAAAGGACCTTTCGACGACAGATATCTCGTCGCTAAGCTATTCGACGTGACTCAAGACACCGAATTAGAGGAGGCTGTCCAACGTGCGAAAAACGAGGAAATTAAAATCCCTTTCGGCGTTGGAATTGCCGGATACGTGGCTCAAACTAAGGAGATCATCAACATCAAGGATGCTTACAAGGTTGAAGAAAAAAAGATTCCTTTTACACGAGAAAATTAGACGTTAGCTGTAACCCTTAACCTACGAACTTTCTCTGACTGTGCATCTAAGCGTGAGTCGTTTAGTGTTTTGATACTGTATCGAGTAAAAAAAGCTAATTTGTTGTAGATCAGTTGTGTTGGATGATTGCAAAAGTTCGTGCCCGTTTTGAAAATAAAACACAATCGGTGTGTGCAAAAGCATATTTCATTTGAAACTGAAATGGAATGAAATGAATAATTATTTGAAAATAAAACACAAGCGGTGTATCTTTCGATAGGAATGTAACATTACGCTAAAAGAGACGTCTGTGTCGAAATTGATAAGGTTCTCGCCACCTCTGAAAATCGGGCACGAACTTTTGCAATTGGTGTTACAAATTCAAACGAAAATTACGATTCTAATGAATTTTTCTCATTAACCCTTTGAACTCCAAATTTAAAAAAAAAAATTTTTTTCAATAACTCCCTATTATTTGTAAGGGCTTTTGGTCTAAATAATATTTGTCAGGATTATTTAAACTAATTTTGAAAACTATATTTCTTCGTCCGTCTGTCCTTGACGTCTCGTTCTTTTCTGATCCGTCCTTATCAACTACACGCTTCCTAATTCGTTCTAATACAATCTGTTGCATTCTTATTTAACGCGTCCTTATATACGAGCCTTAACGCTCCTCTGTTGCCTCCGGGAAACCCTGGCACAGGTTGGGAGTCCTTACCTGACCCAGCCCTTAGCGCGTGGGGGTGTCAAGGCGTTTGGGACCTTTCGGTCTGCGGGTCATAGACCAGCGCGAGTCCCAACGCTCCCTCGACCATACTCTTGTGGTGACTGATCCGCCGGCGATCGGGTTCGACACGCGTGAGAGCGTGTAGCGCGTACCGGCGTGGCGTAAGCGAAAAGCGAAGCGTAGAAGAGGCACGCGGGCCCCGGGACGAGAAGGCAGTTGAAGGTAGCGCGCCGAGGCTCGGGCTGGCTATGCGACGGTGTATACTTTTTTTCCTGACGAATTGATCCCACATATACTTGCCTTGACGCCCCTCTCTTGCCTCCGGGAAACCCTGGCACAGGTTGGGGGGTTTCCTTACCTGACCCAGCCCTTAGCGCGTGGGGGTGTCAAGGCGTTTGGGACCTCTCGGTCTGCGGGTCATAGACCAGCGCGAGTCCCAACATTCACACGACCATACTCTTACATATTTTAAGAATTTTATTTAAAATGTACTTCGGAAGACGTTTGGTTGACAGGAAGCAATTTAAACAATTTTTTTCCTAATTATATTGAAAATTGCATCAAGGGTCATACGTGTACCTGTTGCTCATCCAGGTAAAAGAAATATTGCAAAATATAATACATATTTAAACTGGCAATTCAAAAATTACTTCATACCTGTGAATAAAACTGACGTCGAGTCACACTCGACAAAGGAGTCCAAAGGGTTAACATAACTATTTTTCTCATGTCTCGACTAGAATTTCTGTCAGGAGTCTGACTCGTTATAGGTTAAGGCAGCCATGCTCAACCTTTATCCTTCCCGGGCCATATACGGTGACTGTTACTAATATTCGGACACCTCTTTAGAACAGTATAACTTTTTTAAAATTGGACTCAACGACTTGAGATTTTTCTGAGAAGTTAGGATTAGTATACTAGATGACGCGTATAAAATTTTTTGAAAAAATTGCAATTTGTGGGAATCGCGAAGAAAATTGTAAAGGTCACATTCGACAACTTTTTTACCTGAAAGCTCGTAATGAAAATCTAAAAAATACGTTTTGTACGAGCTACAAACAGTTAAAGATTGTGAAAATCGCACTATTTCACGACTTTCGGCCTATAATTGTAATAAATCTGAAGATTCCTACATCTATCGATGCCTGTCGCTTGTTTCTCCATCTACCGATTTCGATGAAATTTTCAGCATGCGCATAAGTGACATAAATCTACAAAACGTATGTTTGAAATTTTCGTTACAAGCTCAGGTAAAAAAGTTGTAAACAGTGACCTTTACAATTTTCTTCGTGAAAAAATTTTATACGCGTCATCTAGTATACTAATCCTTCTAACCTCTCAAAAATACTCAAGTCGTACGATCCAATTTAAAAAAAATCATACTGTTCTAAAGAGTGTCCGAATATTAGTAAGAGTCACCGTACATAATGTTTGCTACGTAACGAGGGCCGTAACTTAGTACAGTTTATATCTTGGTATTACGTAAATTAAATTATCTGTTACTTACGAATTCTAACAGTGCCTTCGTGTGTTTCGATGCCGCGCACAGAATCTTGGCGGGCCGCTGGTTGAGTACGGCTGGGTTAAAGGGTTAATTACTACAAATTATCTGAATATTCGAATTTCTCCTTTTTTTTTTTTTAAGGATCCAAGGTTTAACAGTTCCATCGACATGCGAACGGGTTACAAAACGACGCTGATCCTATCGATGCCAATTTCTAATTACGAAGGGGACGTGATAGGAGTAGCTCAGATAATAAATAAGACAAACGGCAGTAACGAGTTCACTGACAGAGACGTAGAAGTGTTTCAGAGGTTCGTAGTAAAGCCTGTAGATCCTATAGATCCAGGGGTCGGCAAACTTTTTTTCTGGAGGGCCAGATACTAAATACTTTTTGGCTTTGTGGGCCAAGAGAGAAAATTGAGATTATTACGTATGTACGTATTGTAGATAGTTAACGACAAATTAAAATTTTTTCACAAATCCTTTATTTGTAATACACATTTATCAATGAGAAATATGGAATTCTTTCTTTTCGGATAATATTTCATTTAACTGTACATAACTCGAGGGCCATTAAAAAACTGATGGCGGGACGCAGTTTGCCGACCCCTGTTATAGATCATTGCCCAAAAAGAAAGAAGATACTCTTCGTAGAGAAATACAATTAGAATAGGAGAAAACTGACTTCAGGTACCTAACATTTTGCGGAATCGGCATACAAAACGCTCAGCTGTTCGAGTTGTCCGTGCAAGAGTATCGTAGGAATCAGATTCTACTGAATCTGGCGAGAAATATATTCGAGGAACAGAACAATCTCGAGTGTCTAGTGACGAAGATCATGACAGAGGCGAAGGAGCTGTTGAAGTGCGCAAGATGCGCCGTTTATCTGTTAGATTTGGACTGTGGCGAGGCAGTAAGTTCATTCTGATGAATTCGAAAAGAAAAAGAAAACGAAGAATTCGCGAAATTTTTGGGTAATCTTACTTTCGTCAGCGAATAGCGTAAAATTGAGAGAGAGAGAAAAGAGGGAGAGAAGGAAAAATGAGAAGGGTTTGTCGAAGTCGTTTTCGACAAAAAAAAAAAAAAGTAAATAAATAAAACCAAAAGTGACAACGAGGAACGTAATAAGAGATTCTAAGTTTCATTTCAGGGACACCTCGAAAAAATCGTCGAACGACCGGGAAAGTCGACGCAAGAGAGCCGGAAACCGCTGTCAAGGAGAGAGGTGAGTGACACCGGCACGTGTTACTCGAGTTCGTATGTCTGATGATCTTTTTCTTCTTTCCTTGGCGGCTCAGAGCAACAACATCGAGATGGAGGATATTTTTACGCAACACGTGAGTTACAAATGAGAGAAGAATTGCTTTAATACGGGATTCGAATCTTTGGGATCACCTGACGTAGCGAAATATCGAAATTCAATTCTGGGAATGATGTAAAGGGTGGGCTGATAGAATGTGACAGTTTTTAGGTTTCAGGTTGAATTGAGATAAGAGTTTTATTTTAAAAATAAATGTGTAATGAAATTTATTTATTATTCAATTATTTCATAAATGTCAAGATTCAATTTCATAATTAATGTAACGTGTGTGATAATAGAACGTGGTAGTTTTCCAAAAAGTATTGTTGGACAATCAGGTTGAATTGACATAACAGTTTGAT